GAAAATACAATCGTTGTACATAAAACTAATAAGTATTCTCAATTGTATAATAACTAATTCATTTTCCACTCTTTAATTCTATCTTTATTTCATTTTATAATGAATTAAACACTGTAGTGAAAAATTCAATTAATAATCAAAATGATTCCCTAACACTAAAACTCGGAAATACTAAAATAATACTCCCTCCGTCCCAATATAAAAGGCACACTTTCCTTTTCGGTCCGTCCCAATATAAAAGGCACATTTCCCTTTTTGGCAAACAAAACAGTGCAAAACAGTGCCAAACAGTGCCAAACAGTGTCCAAACAGTGCCAAACAGTGTCTAAACAGTGTCAAACAGTGTTCACCCTTAAAAACTCCCCAAACGCAAATGTGCCTTTTATATTGGGACGGAGGGAGTAGTATATTAATACACAATAATAATATGGTATAACACATTCACAAATCACAATCGAACACCAATTCAATCACAATAATAAATTAAGAAATAGAATTTTGAGTTTACATGGAGTCCTGAAGGGAGGCAGAGGCGCAGTCGCGTAGAGGCGAACTGCCGGAGTCTAGAGAAGAAGGGCGGAGTGGAGGACGAGTGGGACGACGCAAGTGGGGCGGAGGACGATGGCGGTGCGACTGGTGTTCACTTCTTCGTCGCTAGTTCAAGCTCGGACTGCTCCATCATCGTTCTTCGCACAATCGAGCTCCTTCATCCTCACATGCTAATGATGTTTTTTACTTGGACTGTAATCTGCCCAGAACAGACCAGTCCAGACCAGAACAGATCAGACCAGACTTGGATAATTATAAAAATACAAAGAAACCAGACATTACTAGACCAAACCAGATTATACCAGCAAATTACAGTCCAAGTAAAAAAATCATAACTTCTATTCGTGCAAGTCAGTCGAGAAGCCAGGTAAGTTTAGTGGTGGGCTGGGCTGGGCTGGGAAATAACTTTGGGGTGGGCTGAGAATTAATTTTGGGATGGTCTGTAATTTAGCATATACCTATACTAACTGTATAAAAAATTGAGCTGGGCTGCCTCACTACCATCCGCCCCTGCATTGGGCCACACACACAATTTTGCCAGAAAACATATATGGAGCATTTATTTAGGATTTCATACACGAATGTCTTTGTAGTATACTCCGTACAAAGTTTGAGAAATATATTAGCTCTCTGCAATGTACAAAGTCATTTGTTGTTATGATTAACGACACCCTTAATATTTATAAAGAACACTAGTTTTCTTCATGCGCGTTGCGCAAATAACTCAATGCCCAATATTATTCTCGCAGTGTATACATATATTTTTTCCGTTAGTACAAAAATGATAACAAGCCTTGCATCTTATACAATAGTGATAAGAAATTAAATTTTTAAAAGATTAATTTTCCTTATAATATTCCGTGAATGCTCTACCTTGAACGCCAAAGTAGACTCTCCAATCTTTGGGTGAAAGAGTGTATTTGTCATCAAATTTGGGTAGCTTGAAAAAGAATGTTGTACACATTTATACCTGCCAAATATGCAAGTTGGAAGGGTGAGAATTGTTTGACCTGCAAGTATGTATATGTGTGAGATTGGAATTAAATAGCTTGTCTAAAAAATGGGCTAAAAATATAAATTTTGTATTCATTTTAGCTCTTTGTTGTGCTGCAAATTAGATTAGGTGATGTTAAAGTCCTCAATTATGTTTTTAGATCGATGTTGTGTCTTTAGACTCCTGAAATCTAAAAAGGTAATCCATAGCTACATTCACCAAAAAGAACCCTCAAGTGAATGGACTTTGAGTGAATGAACATCAATAATAACCACAATATACACCATAAGCTTATAACTCAAACAATATACACAATATAATCTCACTACCTTATAAGAATTTTGGAAATGACAATTAAAAGCTGAAATCACAATAGAATTTTGGAAAAACAATTAAAAGCTGAAATCACAATATCGTAGGCATTTTATGTCTTACTTTTTATAGGTAAAATACTTTTTATAATAGAACAAAGAAAACTTATAGAATTTTGGAAATGACAATTAAAAGCTGAAATCACAATATCGTAGGCATTTTATGTCTTACTTTTTATAGGTAAAATACTATTTTAAAAAACTATTAGACGAATGTGCTTAGAGCTATTTCCGTATGTTTCATAAAGTATTGGATCAATGTTCCTTTAGAGTTGTTATTGCTAATATACATGTAAAATTACCTAATTTCAGACCATTGTATACAATAAAAATTTCATGTCTATAGGATGACCTATGTACATGCTTTTCAGAAACCTATATAGCAATAAGACTTCATCTTTCTCCTATCAGAACATTAAGTCTATAATATTTCCACTAACTCTAAATAAAAGAGAAATAAAAGTAAAGTTCTGGCTAATATTGAATTTCCCCTTGACATTTCTGCAAAATTAGATCAGTTCTCACAAGCATATCTTTTACATGATCCAAAAGATAAATCAGCACCTAAGACAAAACTTTAATCAATGGGCAATACTAAAAACAATATAAGTGTAACTTCACAATGATGGCCATTTTATTTAACCTGATTAGCTCATATACCTTGTAGTAATTATCAAAATCCAATTCTCAACTTTTCATTGAAAAAAAACATTTAAAAATAAAAAACAACATCATGATTTAACATCTTACCAAATTGAAAAAAAAAACAGAGGGGGTGGTATTGAAATTGATGCAAGACATGAGAATATGCAATTTCATTTGTGTTGAAAATACCATATTTTTTACTAAAACCTCTGATCAAGATCTCAGCTTTATCATCCAAACACAATACTAACAACATTCTAACAACATATTTGAGTTTTCAATCACTGGTTTTATACAACTTCCCAATGAAAATAGCTAAAACAGAGACAATTTTCCAATGGAATAAGGCATCAAATTCAAAAATCAAATTGCAGCTTATTTGATTTGTTTCACCTGTTAACACGAGAGGGAGAAGAAACAGCAGTGACTTCTATAACTCTAGATGTGATTTTCCTCTCAACACCCCAGATTCTGAATTGGGTTCGACCTGATACGGGTTATAAGTTGAACTTTCATACCTTGAAATATAAGTTGATTTACCTTGGTCGCTTGGTTCTTGCTATTAGCTGTCCGGCTGTCCGGCCACGAACGTTAGTCTGATTTCTTCAGAACTCCGATGCCTCATTGATGTCCTCGATTGGATCGGTACCGCTGGATATACCAACTTTACTCTAGAAGACTTTTTTCCAATGGGGACCTGACTTTAATCAAGAACACAATTCAGCTTCTTAAATGCTTCAATGTTTCCCTTTCTTTTTGCTTACTTCAACTCAATAGGGCAGCTAATCTAAAATTGAGAATCTTCGGTTAACAGTTCGAGGTCCTTTAATTTTAGATTTTCAGCAAGTTCCGCATATGGTCTGTACTCCGGGAGGAAAGGAGGGCGGAAACGCGAAGACGACTCTACGTTTCAGATCCTTCCTTGTAAACGTCGAAGATGAAACCTTGCAGATCTGCAACATCCAGCGGCGAACAGCTCCCAACCTATGGCAAAACGAATTACAACCTAGGGGATTTCATCCGATGAGGGTTAGTAGCCGAGAGGCCAGAGATGAATGTAGAGGCTGTCGTTTGAACTTTGAACCCGGAAGGTTGTCTGGAGTGAGATAACAGAGGCGGACGTTGAGTTTGAAAGGATCCATAACAGACGGGAAGAAAACGGAGAAGTAAGTTACTTAGCGAAGAGTACACATTTTAAAACACATTGTACATGTTCACAAAGCTAGATGATTACACCAACATTTTTTTCATCCCTAAATTGCCCTAACTCTCATTGACAATTATAAGATTTTAAGATTTTAGCTGTTTAATAAAATAATAAAATAAAATTATTTAGTATTTTTGTACGGAGTATAATTTATGAAGTGTGTTGTTCAATGCTACGTATTAAACCCGTAAAATTATGAAGTGTGTTGTTCCAAAATTTTAAGTGCGTGATTAATTGTAAAATGAGAAAGTTTGATGCCTTTAATAAATTAATCATGAAAGTTATTGTGTATATTTTGTACACAAGAAAAGGATTTCTCACATTATTACTGTGTTGTTGTACACTACGAGCTTAAGTGACCTTTTTTGTCACACTTGCTCATTTAGTAAATTAATTAACAGAAATATATAATGATGTAACACTATAAGTAAAATAGTGAATTACCTAAATAGGACAAAAAGTGACCAAAGAGCACAAATAGGACTATATCTTAAAAATTCACCCCAGTAGCCTTTGAATGTCTTAATTAATAATAAAATCATAAAAACATCGTTAAAAAATCAGAAAAAAAATAAAAAAACGTAAAAAAACTAATAAAAAAATTTATAAAATTAAAAATTAAAAAAATCAAAATTAAAAACGTAAAAAATACCGCCAGCACCACCAGCTCCCGTCACCGGTTTGAAATCTGCCTACATTTTTAGTAATGCTATAATAATATCAGATTCAATGAAAATTTTGGCTTTAGTAATAATGTCATTTTCGTGGCATTTTCAGAAAAAATGACATTTTTTACCGATCGGGGGTGATAGTGCTGGGAGGCGGTGAGAAAGGTATCCATAATTTTATTATGGTTTTTTTACTATTTGTATTAATTTTAAAAAAGAATTCAAAAAATATACATATTTTATTTATTTTTTACGATTTTTTTTATAATTTTTTACTTTTTTTGATTATTTGTTATGATTTTTTAATGAATTAAGACATTTCATTATGAATAATAATACCCTTACAAGTATTTAGGGTAGAAATCAATTAATGTTTAGTCTTATCTGAAGGGAATTTTAAAAGTAGTAATTCTATTTGTGCGTTTTAGGTACACTTTAGTCCTATTGAGGATAACTTCTATAAGTAGAATAAAATGTGAGGGATGTCACTAGCGTTGTTTTCCTTAGACCTATTGTTACGTTTTTCATTCGTACTGACCTAGCTAAGAACACTACACACCATGCAGGTGCTATGGCCTTACCATTGCAGGGGAATAACATTATGGACACAACCATTGACATGAAGATGAAGGTATATATATCAATGAATTACATTTAGAGCCCGTTTGGTAGCACCAAAATTGGCTGTTTTGGCTGATTCTGCTGAAATTTATGATATTCTGGCTGGAGTGGCTGTTTTGGCTGATTCTGCTTATTTAAGAAAAAAATATTTTTAAAATATATTTTATTAATAAATTAAAGAAAAAATTATATGTAAAAATAGCTAAAATGGTCCTCTAGAGTAACTTCAGCCAATACAGCCAAAAAATTAACTCCAACCTTACTTTTTCGGCTTATTACACAATTCAACGCGCGAAAGTAAAAGTTACGTGTTTGGTGAAAAAGCTGGCTGATAAGCCTGATAAGCCGAAAACAGAGTTCTCCAAACGGGCTCTTATTATATGTTATGAAGATCTGTTTTTAACATTATAAAAATGACTCTTCTTTAAATGATGTAGTGTATGGTGTGGTTATTGGAGCTAACAAAAAAAGTCGAATCATAAAGTAATTGACAAATCGGCCAACACCGATCATACCAGAATAGACAAAATTCGTCACATCTTAGAAAATTAAATATTTATGACACATATGTAATGAAAATTAAATGTATCAAAGTCATTATATGAATAAGTTATAAGTTAATTGTGTAAAGTAATCTATTTGTAATTAAGTTTGGTTTTGATCGAGCATGAAATCGTATCTTTTATAAGTGTAATGGCCCCGTATCTAAATAATAGAAAACATGCATCACTACATTAACTTCATCCCATTAGAAGAAATAGTTTGAAGATAAAAATTTACAATTGGAAGATTAGAACTTGGTAGTTTACCACCATTATAAAAAAATTAGATTGTTAAGGTAGGCTTCTGAACCAATTCCTTCTTTCATGTGTTTATATGGATTTATTTTGTGTTGAGTTACGCATAAACGGTTTAAACACAAATAGTAAATTCCAACTATTCAACAGTAGGCTAGATAGTTTTGCTCACAATTATAGGTTTGGATGGCGTAAAAACCAGAACAAACTGACCATAACTGTTAAATGTTCCACACCGGAAAAGTTTGGATGAACAAAGTGTTATATTAAAACATGGGATAATCCTCCTATCAGGTTGACCTTTTAGGATGGAACCCCGTGTCTTAACATGGTATCAGAGTCAAATCGATTTATGGTGTGTGGCCTCTTATGAAAAATGATGACGTGGTTATAAAACGGACCGATGAAAAAAATGAATGATGACACGACTCAGACAAAGTATCTGGTCGTGAGTAGGGGTGTTAAATGTCCTACACCGAAAGAGTTTGGATGAACAAAGTGATATATTAACACATGGGATACTCCTCTTATCAAGTTGACATTTTAGGATGGAACACCTTGTCTTAACAATAACTGATCAAAACGTGCCAAATCAAACTAAAAATAATCGAACCAGAACCGCGCAAAATCGATTAAAGGTACTCGATTCGGCTCTCAGTTTTGTATTTCTCAAAAGTGAGCAAACTTGAACCAAACTAACTAAACAGCCTAGAAAGCTGAACTGTGGAAAAGCCCTGTTATTTATTATTTAATTTTGCTGCTATTAATCCACAGGGTTCAAGAAACGTAAGAAGTCGTAATGATCAGGATGGAGACATAATGCATATGGAAGACTATGGTCCAATGGATCCAGTACCAAGTTCATCAAAAGCATCAGTAAAACCAGGACCGATTCAACACGGCGCACCTCTCTTGCCTTATATTCCTAGTCCATCCCCGCCACCAGGTGGTTCGGGAAATGTTGATCATCCTTAGCTCTAACATGCATGACATATCTGCCTTTGTAATGTTGTTGGGCAGGCCTTATGAAAACCCTCATGTATTCATTCACTACATATATTTATTGGACCACGCTTTTGTTAATCCATAGCTGTGCTATTTGATTTGTTAATTGAAGACTTGCAGCATTCCATGTTTCCATGTAGGTCCTTCTGTTCATATAATCATTTCTATTGAATGGTTGTGATGTTACATACTTCAAATTACATACTCTAGGTTCATGGTTGAAATATATATAAGAGTTAAATAAAAGCGGTTAAAGCATGCATATATACTCCGTATAACATTTACTCTGCTTATTAGGGAGTATAACTTTTTAATCAGAAGATGCATGTGAGTCATATGACTCTGTACAATGTCATAAACTTACATCGTAGGGTCATAAGCATGTACTCCGGTGATAGACATATTTCGACAAAAATTCATATTTAAACTAAAATTCATTGTTGTAAAATATCTAAAACGTGATAGACATATTTCGACTTCAATGCCATAGTTGCACTAGTAAAAATGCTGTCTTGTTTATAGTGTGATAAAAACCTACATTTTAATTTCAAATATAGTTCTTTTTTATGTAATTGAGCATATTATACTCAATTACATTTTAATTTCAAATATAGTTCCTTTTTTGACTCATTAAAACGGCTTTCCATTACTATAGACCAAAACAGCAATACAAAATCCAGATCCGATCGTAAGCTCTAGGAATAGACTTAGAGTCAGCCACCCATGTAAAGTAATCTGACTCGCTAGACACAAAACGGGCAAAAAGAAGCCTAAAACGATTGAAAATGAAGCACCGCCTAACAAAAGTTCATCAAAGATCAAAATATTCCGACCATACCTACTCGAACTGAAATAAAGATAAGTATTGTGAAGGAAAAAATAATACGAAAAATAAAAACTTTCCCAAATTGCTTCCTTGCACAGAGGTGGTTCCAGAGGAGCTCGAGCTGCTGTAGTATGATAGAAGAGAGCCTCCATCGGAAACCCCAGATTGATCTCTATAGTATGATAGAAGGAGCTGCTTCAATCGGAAACCCCAGATTGATCTCTTTTACCGGAGATTCCTCAATATCAACTTCATCAAGATCCAATTCTTCTTCCTCTACCCCAATCTCCATCTTCTTGTACTGATTAACAAAATTTTCCATGCAATCCGGAAGCCCTGTTCTCCAACCAACGAGCCTCCCCTGCATTGGACGCCAACGATCGTCGACCCCGAAGCCACCGATTCCGAAGAGTCGCTCTTCTCTAGAAACCATCAAGCCCTTCGCCCCAGACGAGATCTCCTTCCAAAGCCAACCTCCTACGAAGAATCAAAACCGCTGCCGTCTTTCCAATGGAAAACGAAAAGCAGAGCGAAGATCCCAAGCAAACCGACGATTGACCGTGCCGAAATCAGCAACGGCAGACGCAAGCAACAGAAACCGGTGCCACGACCAAGATGATCGCCACCGGACAAACCACTAGGAGAAACCCTAGGCGGCGGCCGAAACTCTAGCTCAAAGCTATGGATTTATAATGGATGTTTTTTCTTGTTCAATTTTTATACTCCCTATGTCTTATGATGGAAGTTTTACCTTATATATCTAAAACTTATACTTATAGAATATGTGATAATTAATACATGAGGGAGTATTTGCAACAATGAAGTACGTAGTCTATTTTTGACAAAACGCTCTCTCTCTAAACCCTAGCGGCGGCAGAGAGGAGATAGATCGATCGATGGAGGGCAGTGTTGGTCTCTTATAGATCGGTCGATTGTGGCGGAGCTTCTGGCGTTAATCTTATTCCGGGTTTATGGATTCGCGTCCTGTCTTTAGGGTTTCACCACTGGAGTTTTATTTGTCCGCTATCGTCTTTTGGCGAGGAGCAGTGCCGTCTTTCGGCAATTCATTCGTGGATAGGGAGTTTCAGCTGGAGGCGACACAAGGGCAGATCAAAGCGATGAAGGAAGAAGACGAAGGGAAGGTGATCCAACCCCCTGCTGAACCGTCGCCGGTGATTCTTGGAAGGTTGAGTGAAGAATTTTTTTTCTTTTATTTATTTTAATGGTCTGAATTTGTCTGTGTTTGTTTGTTATTTTATCTCTTTCGATTGTAAGACTGTGATTTTGGATTTGGATGTGGGTGATGATTTACCATTACTGGCTCAGTTGTGCCCATCAATGGATCAACGAGTTACTTTACCGAGGTGATTAACTCTGAATCTGGTTCGCGGGACGGCGATTTTCTTAAATTATATTATTATTTTACCTATTCTCCGAATAGTTTGATATTAATGTAAGCTGCTTTCATCCAAAAAAAATTTTACATTACAATGAAGTATATAAAGTTTATTTTGTGTGATAAGATAATAAAAATTTTGTGTGTCAAACTAAAAATTCAATTTTGGGGCGAAGGTAGTATACTTGATTACTTATCTACACTATTTGAAAACTGACTACATTTTTGGGACACTATTTAAAACGAAAGAAACCAACAACTAAAACCTAAAAGAAAGCACGAAACGTACGTAATAAAACAAAAAGAAAAGAAAAATAAAAAAAGTAAGTAAAACAAAAAATAGCAGTGGGGCGGCGGCACAAAGCAAACAACTGAGAGACCTGGAGTCTGAGAGACCTGGAGTCTGAAACGGCGGAAAACAACTGACGGAAACAATGGAAAACGGAAGAAAAGCAGGGAGCAACTACTACGATTCAGGCTGGAAGTTGTATTTAATTTCAAAAATACCCGGCTGTACGGTGCTCAACGTACAGCCGATTGTACGGTATAATTTACCCTTTAATAGTGTTCCAGAAATATTTTTTTTCAACTGGACTATTGGAACACCGTACAACTGGCTGCCCCACACTTCAAGATCAAGAGAGACGCGAAGTAGTAGGGGGTGTTTGGATCTGATTCTCAAAACTTATTCTGCTGCTTCAGGGAACAGAAGTTGGAGTGTTTGGGTGAAATTCCAGAAGCGCTTCTGGTGCTCTAATTTACTCTCAGAATCACTTTTTTTAGAAGCTGGCAGGTACCAGCTTCTGAAAACTGATTCTGATTCTGCTTCTACTTTTAAAAAGAAGCAGAAGCAGAATCATTTCAACACCCCATAAATACACTTCAATTTCTATTATTCCTACATCGCGATATTCAAACGATCGCCAAGGATTGTTTCCGGCCATGGCATCCCTAAACATGAACTCAGTAGAATTGAATTAGGTCAATATATGATATGATTGGCTCAATATAGGAAACTCGCTGAAAAATAATGAGAAATTATCAGTAGAAGATGTGAAAATATGTAGTATTAGCAGCAATTTACTATGAATTGTGTTTAAATGTAGTTAGCGCTGCTTGATTTGATGAGTTAGACACTGCTAAACGCATTTCTTATTCTCTGTCATAAGCTCTCTGTTTTCAGTGACCACATAAGCTCTTGTTATTCAATAAAATCAATATTGATTGTAGTGGGTTTAATGCACCAAACCCCCCTGTGATTTGGAAATTCGGCGCATTAGCCCCCTGTGATTTAAAAAATGAGTCAAACCCCCCTGTGTTTTAATTAATCATGCGCCAAATCCCTTATGTGAACAAATTCAATTGTCAAATAAAAGAAAAATGATCAACATTTTTGTATGATTCAGAGATTTTGACATATTTATTTGCATATTCAATCAAAATATTAGGAAAAATGATTTTCAAATCGTTAAATTTATTCATAAAGGGGGTTCTGTGCATGATTAATTAAAACACAGGGGGGTTTGACGCATTTTTTAAATCACAGGGGGCTAATGCGCCGAATTTCCAAATCACAGGGGGTTTGGTGCAATAAACCCGATTGTAGTAGTAGTTTTGGCTTTGATTTTTTATTATGCAAGTGTTCTAATTTTCTTTGTGGAAAATGGTTTGAAATTACATTTGTTAGCATTAACAGTTGCAGGGAAATCAGAAATGAACCAAGTGACTAGTTTTGGTCTTGATTTTCAAGCTAAGCCTGGTGCTGAACTACTTCAAGACTCAAGAGTATAAACTTAAGGTATAAACTCAAGATTTACAGAAACATTTCACGTTTAATCAAGCAAACGCTCAAGTGAAGGAGTTTAAGTAACTTTTTGTTCCTATTTACTGATCTTTAAATTGAAATTTCAATGCATCTTGAGTATATTTTTCTTTTTGCAGGTTATAAGCACTAAAGGAGGTGCTTCAAATATAACTCAGCAAGAAGGAAGTGTTATAGGTTTAGAGAAAGCAAATGAAGCGCTTTGAGTAAAAAAAATTGAAGATTTTCCATCCTTAGCAGCACCATCTCAGCTACCTCATCATATTCTCTCTTGTTTCTCAAGCTTGAGCATTGATGTTATCACATTTAAGATTTTTCAAAAGGTAAGGGTTTCGTCTACTTTTTCCTCTGTTTTACTTTTCAATTGATTATAGTTTTTCTTTAGGTTTTCTATTTTCATTTATTTCAGTCATCTTATACACTGTTAATGAGTTATAGATACTAGATTTCTATTCAACACTATGTTGATTAGATTATCTAACTTGAAGCAGGAACTTATAGTTTATGGTTTTTGGATACTAGATTTCTATTCAACACTGTTAATGAGTTATAGATACTAGATTTCTACAGACACTGTTTTCGATTTTTTTATATAAGTTTGAAGCAGGAACTTATAGTTTATGGTTTCACGAGCATAGGTCATCCATAAAGAGAAGAGCACACCAATCTTTAGAAGAGGAATTGCCTTCCTTTGCAGAAACCAGTGTTAATAATTGCTGATACAAATAAAAGCAAGATACTCTAATTACTAAAAAGTTTTCATGTGATTTGGAATTGTAAGGATCGGATTCCGTCTCCGGCTCAGGTCTTTCAACACACACTCTCACACACCACACTAAGAGGAAGCTATAGCACACCCAAATATTACTCTCCACTAAGGACCTATCTATTCTCACACAAAGGAGGAAGAAAGGGAGCTCTGCTCTCTGGATACAAAACTCACGCAGGTTGAGTCTCACAAGGAAGAAGCAAAGACTATTAATAGGCTGCCAAGGAAGTCACGGGTGAGGTCAATACAAAAGGCACTCACATGCTTCTTGGACAAAGGAAAGTCACAAGCATAGGCCAAGACAAAGTGATGCAGCGGACAGA